CTTTACATCATTTTACAAATGAGGGAGAACTAAGGCTTGGAAATTTGAAGAAATTGCCCAGGACTCTCCAGTCAGAGAAGGAGCTCTGGTGGCAAAGCTTGCTGCCTTCTTAACTAAGCGTCAAATTCAGCAGCAGCTCAAAGTTATTGTTGTTGTTGTTATGTGCTGTCGAGTCGCTTGCGACTCATAGTGACCCTGTGTACAACAGCCCTAAACTCTGCTCTGTCCTATGCCAATCGCACCGTCTCCGACACACCCATCCCGATTATCCCAGTCACTGAATCAATCCACCTCATAGAGGGCCTTCCCCTGCTGCGCTGTCCCTCCACCCTACCAAGCATGATGTCCTTCTCCAAGGACTGGTCTCTCCTCACAACATGTCCAAAGTATGTTAGATGGAGCCTCAGAATCCTTGCCTCCAGGGAGAAGGCCCGGTTTAACCCTTTCCAGGATGAATCTGTTTGTTTTCCCAGCAGTCCATAGTACTCTCAATACTCTTCTCCAGCACCACAGCTCAAAGGCATCAATTCTCCTTCTATCCTCCTTAGTCATTGTCCAACTCTCTGATGCATAACAAGTGATTGTGAAGACCAATGGCCTTTATCAGATGCACCTTAGTCTCCAGAGAGACACCATTGCTCTTCAGTGCTTTGGAGAGGTCCCTAACAGCAGACTTTCCCATGGCAAGCAGCTCAACACAAGGGTGAAAGTCTCCTCCCACTTAGATTTACAGCCTCAGAAACCGATGGAGGGTCACCAGGAGTCATAATCACCTCAATGGCAGCGAGTTTGTGTGGATCCAACCAGGAAGCAACGGAGGGAGGATTTGCTCTCGTTGTTATGTGCTGTCCATTGGACCGTGACTCACAGTGACCCTGAAACTTGCCCTATCCTGTTTTCCTCACCATTTCCAACACACTTGAGCTCCTTTCTGTGGTTAGTGTGCCTGTCCACCTTGTTGTAGGCCTTCCTCTCTTTGCTGACCATCCACCTTTCCAAGCATGATATCCTTCTCCAAGGACCGGCCCCCTCCTAACAACATACACAACGTATGTGAGAAGTTTCACCATCCTTGCTTCCGGGGAGCACCCTTGTTTCACTTTCTCTAAGACAGAGTGGTTTATTCTTGTGGCAGTCCATGAGATAGCCAGTACCCTTCTCCCAACACCAAAAAGCAAAGGGATCGGTTCTTCTGTCTTCCTTAGTCATCGTCCAGCTTTCAGTTGCATAGCAACCAATTGAGACAGAGGCTTGAATCAAGCACATCTTAGTCCTTAAGCTGATATCATTGATCTTCAGTATTCTGGAGAGGTCCCTGACAGGAGATTATCCCCAGTGTGATTTGTGGTTTGATTTCTTGACTGCTGGTACTAAGGGTGTTAATATAAGCAAGATCTAAGGGTTGTGAATATAAGCAAGATGAAATCATTGACAACTTCTGTCTCTTCTCCAGCTACCATGATATTGGCTCTTGGCCCGGTGATGATGAATTTTGTTTTCTTGATGTTGAGATGTAATCCATAATGAAGGCTGTTTGTAGTACTTGATCTTCTGTAGGAAGCCTCCTCGTTCTCTTGCTTAGAGTAAGGAAGCTTTAAGTCCTCTACGCTTTCAGCAAACAGGAATAGCTGATGCCAGTATCCCCAGACACATTCTTCCCCCAAAGAGGTTATAGACTGTCGCTGGACTGGAGAACCACTCTCTCCTGAGGCATCCTGTGGACTTGACAGCTATGTGATTAAAAGAGTGGGTCTCAGTTTCAGAAAGGACACTAAGTAAGATTCTGGCTCTGCTTGGATGGCTCAGTCTTTAGTAAGGGTAGAGCCTGGCTTGCTCTAAGAGAGTAAGACCCAGGTGTCCACATCCTCACCTAGAACCTGGTAGGTTGAGCAGAGATGCTCAAGGGAAATAGAAAATGGAGAGATGCTGCAAGGGAGATGGAAACAATCTTAATTCTGAGTGGTGTTTGCGCTCATCTATAAACCTCGGCTCCTGATGTTCATAAGAAAGGGAGACCGGAGCCTGAGGGACACCAGCTTTCACAGAGTCCTTCAGAACAGCACTCCTGCTCACTTCACCGGCCTCATTCCTGCAACCTTTGCATGTTTAACTGCAGCCACACTCATCCCCTAATTACAGTCTGGCTTTCTTGCCCTTTCTGTCTCCCTAACAACCACACAATGGTTGCTGTGGATTCACTGTGACTCCATGTGTGTCTCAGGAGAACTGTGCTCCGCTGAATTGTTGTCCTACGTAGCAGCTTTATTGAAATGTATTCACAGGTCACACAATTCAGCCATTAAAAGTGTACAAACGATTGGTTTTTAACATAGTGAGAGATGTGTGCGTCCTTTGAAAAAGACATCATTGGTGGGAAAGGTGGAGAGTCAGCAAACGAGAGGAGGACCCTCAATGAGATGGATCAACACAGTGACTGGAACAGTGGGCTCAAGGCCATCAGAAACTGTGAGGGTGTGCAGCTCAGGCCAGGGTGCAGCTGTTGTTCATAGGGGCGCTCTGAGTTGTGGTCAGCTTGATGGTGCCTAACAATAATAACAACATCAAGATATGTGCAACCACCATAGTAGTCAATTTTAGGACATTTTTATTGCCTCAAAAAGAAGCCTCACCCCCATTAGTTTCCACTCCTTTAACTCTTAACATCTTCAAGCCCTAAGAAATGCACTTTCTGTCTGTATAAAACCCCCAAGTCAAACCCATCGCCTTGCACTCACTTCTGACTCATTTTCAAAGCTCATACAAGTGGGAATCATACGACATGTCTTTTGTGGCTGGCTTTCACTTAGCATAATGGTCAAAATTTCCATTGAGTTTCAACAAGGGATCATCCAGAAGTAGGTCAGTAGGGAGCTCTGGTGGCCTAGTGGCAAGAAGCTGCACTGTAATCCCAAAGGTATGCAGTTCAAATCTACCAGGATGCTCTACTGGAGGAGGGGCAATCTCCTTCTGTGCCAGTCAGATCTGATTTGACAGAAAACACAAGAAAAATAACAAAATTTTAAAAAAGTTACTGCGGGGAGGGATTGTAAAACAATGGGGGAGCTTTTACTTTTCAAAGAGAAGAGTGTACTGGGGGGAGGGGCAGGCAGGGAGAAAAGTGCAACAATGAATGCGTGGAAATCCAAAGTCTCTGTAAATTTTCATTAAAATGAAAAAAAAATTTAAATTAAAAAAAAAAGAAGTAGATCACAAAGTCTTCCTTCCACAGTGTCTCCTGTTGGATTTGAACCTCTGAGTTTTTGGTTAGCAGAGAATGTGTTAACTGTTGGCACCATGCAGGGATTCTTCCCTCCCCCTGAGACAATAATTATAAGACCTACAGCAGCAGCCTCACCAGAGAGCGTATTAGAAGTGCAGATTCTCAAGCTATGGTGCAGACTTACTGAGTCAGCTACTCTAAGAATCTTTTTTGTTGTTGTTCTTATATACTTTCGAGTCAGAACTAACGCATAGCTGACCCTCCATTGAGTTTTCCGAGGCAGTAAATCACACAGAAGGAGATTGTCCATCTTTCTTTCATGGAGTGACAGTTGGATTCTAACCACATGCATTTGAGTTGGCAGTGCAACTTCTTAACCACTAGGCCACCAGAGCTCCACTCTAAAGATAGGATTCAGAAACAATGTGTTTCACCAAACCCTCTAGGTAATGTCAATGCTTGCTCAAGTTTGAGATTACTGGTCTAGAATAAGCTTCTTTATAAGCTTGGCTAATTCCTACTCTCTTTCTGGTTTCATTTTGGATACTGTTTCTTCCAGTCTGGGATTGAAGCCTTTCTGGGCTCCCAGAATCCTGGGTTCCCAGGCCTCCCTGCCCCTCTTCTCATATTAGTGATCAGACTGTACATAATTGTATAATTACTCATCTGCCCTCAGCTGGCCTGGATGATCCCAAGGGCAAGGACGCTGTCCAAGTCCTCTGTCTTGGCCAGCACCCACCTCGGGTCAGGCACAGGACAGCTCCCAGGGAGTGCTGAATGAAGGGAGGAGATGGCATCTCTCTCTGCAGCATCTTAGAATGTTCTCTCCATCTCAGTGCTGTCAAGTCAGAACCAGCTGGTAGCTGACCTTCTGGTGGGCTCTCAGAGGCTGTAAATCACATGAGAGTTAACTGGCCATCTTTCTCCTGAGGAGCAGCTAGTGGATTCGCACCGCCAGAGGATGCCCCCTTCAGGTTACTAGCATAGCTCTCTACCCTCAATGCCACCAGAACTTCCTTTGTCATTTGAGTTTGTAATGTATTAGACTCACAGAATCTGAAATAAATTAATTTTCTATTTGGTGATTTTTAGGAACCCGCTGTTTTCTTGTTTCTTTAAATGTAAAAATTTGGATTAAGGAACACAATAAGTAGTTGAAAATTTTTTTACAAAAAGTATATACATCTCCTCCTGGTTCTGACAGATTATACATATATAAACAAAGATTTATTTTATATAAAAAATTTTTAAGGACGCTTTCATGGCCTGGTGGCAAGAAACTGTACTGCAATCCCAGAGGCACGCAGTTTGAATCCACCAGATGCTCTGCTGGAGAAGGGGGGGCAACCTCCTCCTGATTCGATGATATGCACACAAAAAATAATAATAATAAATGTAAATATTTTCTCTAAACAGCACGCACACACATAGTTCTGTATTATGCTTACCCCCTCTCATAATATACCTTTTGGATAGGACCTCATCAGTATGTAAAGAGCTTCCTAGTACTTTTTCAAAGCTCTGTAATATTCCACTGCAGTAGTTTCACTAGCCCCTTCCTGCTGGACATTTGGGAAATTTCTTGTTTTCTGCTATTAGACACAAGCTTCTGTGGACTGTTTAGGTGAAGATAACTCTCCAAAAGTGGGACACATAGTCTTTAAGCGACACACACCCACCTCCTCTCAGCTGAGGCGGTTCCAGTGTGCCACCGTCCCAGCAGGTGAGAAGAGTGGCCACCCAGCGGCCTTGCTTAGCCCCCTTCTGCCTTTCTTTCCAGATGCGAGCCACCCCTCTGACTGCTCCTGAGGGCACCCCCTCCAGGAAGAAACGGTTAGAGTTGGACAGTGACCTAGAAGCCAAGTGCCCCGCCCAGAAACGGACTCGAAGCCTGCCCCAGCCCTGGCTGCCCCCGTGCCTGCAGCCCCTGAGCCCACCTCCGGCTCCTGATCCGGCACCTGCTGAGGCTGCTGCCTCCCGACTTGGACCCTATGTGCTCCTGGAGCCCGAGGAGGGTGGACGGGCCTACCGTGCCCTGCACCGCCCCACAGCCACTGAGTACACCTGCAAGGTAAGTCCCCAGGGGCTGCTCCCCCTTGGCACAGGGTCTGCAGAGAGTAGGGGCTCCAGAAGGTTTTCAGGGCGATTGGAGGACCCTTATATTCATTATTCCATCATTTATTAGGGAAGCAGTTTCCAGTGCTCTCAGGCCTGAACTGGGCTGAGCCAGAGAGGTAACTAAACATGTTCCAACTCTTGGACTAAAGTGTGGTAATGGCTTCAGGTGCAGCTCAGGGGCCAGGGGAACACAGGGAAGACTCTACTGTATTAGAGAGAGGGGGTGTTGGTAGGATTGCCAGGTGGATGTGGGGGTTCTAGCCTGGGGGAGTCCTGGAGGGGGTACAAACAGGAGAAAAAAATCAGATAATTAATAAGACAGTGGCCAGAGGAGGGGGGTCACCAGGAGATACTTGTCTGTGGTTGATTAAGAAACCATGAGTGAGCTTCTGCTGGTCTATGGGGAGCCACGAAAGGTGTTTGGAGAGGGTGAAGTAGGTGACAGAACTTGTGGGGACCCTGAGGTCACTGGGCCTAACCCATAATAGATGGCACAGGTCAAGACAGGGACAGGGTTATGTACTAATTCAAATCACTTTGGGCTCATTGTTGCTGTTGGGAGGCATCAAGTCAATTCTATTCCATGTGATGGAAGAAAAGGCTAGCCAAGAGTGTTCCCTGTTGTTGTTGTTGTTGTTATTGTTTTGTGCCTTTGAGTTGACTAGGACTCACAGCGACCCTATAAACAATGACTCTGAACCTTGCCCTATCCTGAGCCAACCTTACCACCTCTCATACACCTCACCCATTGTCACAGTCATCATGTCATTCCATTTTATCCAGCGTCTTCTTCTGTACTGAACCTCTACAAACTTGATGGTCTTCTCCAAGGACTAGGCCCTCCTGGCAACATGCCCAAAGTAGGCTGTGGATTATGGAAGCAGTGGATGTCTGAAGGGTCGGCCTTGACCATCCCCAGCCCAGCTCAGTCTCCGTGGCCTCACCCCTGCTTCTCACCATTCTCTGCCCACAGGTGTACCCGGCCAGGGAGGCCCTGGTGGTGCAGGAGCCCTATGCCCGGCTGCCCCCACATGAGCACGTGGCCCGGCCCTCGGATGTCTTGGTGGACACTCAGTTCCTCTATGCCTTTTTTCCACGTTCCCACGGGGACATGCACAGCCTGGTACGTGGCCGCCGCCGTCTCCCTGAGCCCGAGGCCGCTGCCCTCTTCCGCCAGATGGCCGCCGCCCTGGCACACTGCCACCAGCACGGACTAGTCCTACGGGATCTCAAACTGCGCCGTTTTGTCTTCTCCAACAGTGAGAGGTGAGTGTGGCCAGAGAGACCCACCCATCAACTTGCCAAAGAGGTGAGCATCCTTGATGGGGGAGACTGAGGCACGAGATGGCCAAGCAGCATGCAGAAAGTAGAGAAACCTAGTTGCCCAGGCTTATTGGGAGTCCCCAAGGCTGAGCATGGGACTGTGATGGTCATGGTGGCCAACAGCATTGAGGTGCACACAGTGCCCTCGTGCACTGGATCCTCATACACATGATAGAGGAAACTGAGGCCCAGAGAGGTTAAGTAACTTGTCCAAGAACCCACAGTTCAGCAACAGAACCAGGATTCAAGCCCAGGTCTGAGCTCAGAGCCAGGACCCCAGTTCACACTGAACTTGAGAGGCAGAGCCTGGTTGCTGGGCTGATGTTTCTACTGACTCTAGTTGACTTGAGGTGTCAGGTCTCAGTTTCCCTGCTAGTAGGGGAAGATCTGGACTATCAGGCTATTTCCGGAATTCCCAACTCATAGACAACATCCAGAATGATCCCTGAGGTTCCATCCACATGGACTCTATTTCTGTATCACTGAGAATGGATGGATTATTATTAGAATTCCCAAGGCTGTTTTGTGCTGGTGGGTGAGGAGAGCTGGCCCTGCACCCTCCCCAGACTCCTGGGAGCATAGGATGAGTTTGAGGTGCTGGTGCATATGAACATTAACCAGGGGCAGCAATTTCCTTTCAGACTTCTTCTACAGGGACGGTACAGTGCGTCTGTAGCTTTCCCCTCGCATCCACTTTTTATTGTGGTTTGGGTGAAAGTTTACAATGCAAATTCGCTTTCATTTCAACCGTCCATACAGATTTTGATTGGTGATGTTGATTGCAATCCCCAGAGTGGCAGCACTCTCCCCACTTCCTCCGTGAATTCCCTGTTTCCATTTATCGTTCCCTGCCTCCTTCTGCCTTTTGAACTTTCTTTTGGCCCAAATGTTATCCTTCTCCTTTGCATTTTTAAATTTTGAAATTATTTTAGACATTCAGAGAAATTGGAGCTCAGATTTCCCGCACAACTCTCACCTCATGGCCGTCCAGTCGGAGCCAGTTCTTAGCTGTAAATCAGAGGGAGAAGGTTGCTCATCTATTACTGACCGAAGTGATAAGAGGAAATTGGTTCTCTGTCATTCACCAGAAACACAGTAGGATGGTGATGGTGTTAACAGGTACCCAGTTTGAGTCTGACTCTGTGGCAGGAGAAAGCTGCCACAGGGACTTTGTTACTGTGATCCTAGGAATCGCCTTTGGGTTAATAATTCAGCTCCCTCTGAATTCTGACCCCAGAACTCCCTCTTCCTTCACTGAATCCCATAATAGTAACATCTTTTATAACCAAAAAGCAAGGATCAAAACTAAAACATTAACCTTGATATCATCCTTATTAAGGAGCCCTGCTGACACAATAGGGAGCTCTGGTGGCCCTGTGGGCTGTCAACCCAAAGGTGGCTGGTTTGAACCCACCACCTTCTTCTCAGGAGACAGATGGGCAGTCTCCTCCCATGCAGTTTACAGCCTCTGAAAACTTGCTGAAGGGTCAGCTGAGTCTGTTCTGACTCGACAGCAATGAAAGAGAGGGAGGGGGCAGAGAGGAGGAGAGGGGAGCTCCTGTATAAGCACTTGGTTACCAACTAAAAGGTCAGCATTTTGAACCCACCGACTGCTCTGTAGAGCAGAGGAAAGACTTGGCAATCCACCTTCACAAAGACTGACAACCTAGGAAACGCTACGGGGGCAGTTCCACTCTCTCCTGTCAGGTTGCTATGAGTCAGGATCAGCTCAACAGCGCACACTGACCGCGATGAAATTCTGCTAACTAAACCACAAACATTGTTGAGGTTTCCTTTTCTAGCCGGGATCCAATCTAGGATCTTACTTTAGTTGTGTCTCTTTAACCTCTTCATGGCCAGTTCATTTTCTGCTTTGAATGCTTTGTTGCTGACTCCATGTTTTCAGAAGTAGAAGGCATGCTGAAATCAAAGGAAAATTTTTGGAGATAATAAGAGGAAGACCCTCGATGAGATGGATCGATTCTGTGACTGGAGTGGTGGGAATGAGTGTGTCTGAAACAGCGAGGTTGGCATAGGACAGAACGGCGTTTAGGGCTCTTGTACATAGGGTCACTATGAGTCGCAAGCGACTTGATGGCACATAACAACAACAACAACATGAGTTTTGAGACAGTTAATGTGGGACACACATGTCCCGAGTGGACTCTGATGGTAGGAGTGGTAAAGAGGGGTTCACTTCCTCAGATTCATGAAGTTACGCAGATCCCCACGAGGCAAAGCATGTATAGGGTTAGCTGCTTCCCAAGAAACCCGAGAGGCTGAAATGAATAGTATATATCCTGTGGGTCACGAACAATTTTTAAAAACAAACCAAACTGTGATAACTCCTAATCTTGGCCCCTCTCTACAAAGTAGAGGTGTGTTACATAGGGTTCAACAGATGTGGGAGAAGAATACTGAACAGCCCACGGGCTTCCAAAAGAACCAGCAAGTGTATGTCGTGCCTGAGAGGCAAGGCTGGTGAAGCTTCGTCTCACGTATTTTGCGCATGTTATTAGGAAGGACCAGTCCTTGGACAAAGACGTCGTGCTTGGAAAGGGGGACAGTCAACAAGAGAGAGGAAGACCCTCAGGGAGATGAACTGACATAGTGACTGTTACGGTGGGCTCAAAGTAGATCAGAGATGATTGAGGGTGACGCAGATCCATTGGTCATAGGGTCACTATTTGAAGTAGTACTAGACTCAGTGGCACCTAACAACAGCAACAGCAGTGTCTCAGAAATAGATCGCCATGCCCTTTGGCTTGTAGCCCGTCCATAGCCTTTCTGTCTCTCTCCCCTCCAACCTGAGAAAGTTGCTCAGTCTGTTCTTGTCTCTGGCGATCTTGATAGCTTTGAAGAACACTGGCCAGTTGTTTTGCCAAATGTCCTTCAACCTGGGTTTGACAGATATTTCCTCATCATTAAATTGAGTTTATGAATTTTGGGCAAGAACAGCCCAGGAGTCGTCGTCAGATCGGGACATAGGTAGTGCTAATATGTTTTATTACTCATAATGCCAGCGTCGTTATCTTGGTTGAAGTGGCATCTGCGAGCTTTTTCTCCGGCGAACATGTCTTTATTTCCCCTTTGTAATTAACAATAAGATCCCTGGGGAGTGCAGCCAGACCTAATGTTTGGCAGTTCTGACCTTTGCTATAATAAGACAAAAGAAAGACTTAGCTATCCACTTCTCTTTTTTTTAAAAAAAATTTTTTTTAATGAGCATTTACAGAGATTTTGGATTTCCAATCATTCATTGCTGTACTTCTCTCCCTGCCCAGCCCTCCCTCCCTCCAGCTATCCACTTCTATAAAGATTGTTGTTATTTTTTTTTGTTTTTATGTGCCGTCAAGTCAGAGATGACTCATAGCTGACTCTCCAGTGAGTTTTCAGAGACTATAAGTCACACAAGAGGAGATTGCTTGTCTTTCTCCTGTGGAGCAGCTGTTGGATTCAAACTGCCTGCCTTTGGGTTGGCAGCACAACTCCTTACCTACTAGGTCACCAGAGCTCCTAATCTGTAAAGATTACATGCAAGAAAGCACTCTGGATCACACTGCTACTCACTCACCCATGGGGGTCCCCAGGATTCAGAATCGACTTCACACAATTGTCTTGGCTTTGGTTTTAAATTAATAGGTATCCTGGGGAGTTATTTTGAGGCTACATAAACATCCTGCTTCTCCGCAGACTTTCAGACTTTGACCCATTAGGTCTGGCAGGAGGCCCTCTTGCCTGCAGCTCTTAGCAGTGTGGTGTTAGCTTTGTGATCTGTTCCTCCTTTCCTTCTTCGTGGCATTTTAGATTAAGACAAACAAGCCTTCAATAAGACACAAAATGTCAGTGTTAGAACTAGCTTTAAACTGGCACACAACTGTAAATAAGGTTTGCCTCTTAGGGGCACTGTGACACCCACATGCTTCCTTTTCTCCTTAGGGCAATAGTTTGAGAAGCACTGTAGTAAAGGAGCCCTAATGGTATCGTAGTTTAGTGCTTGGCTACTATTAGAAAGGTTGGTAGTTTGAGCCTGTCAACCTTCCATGAGAGAACAAGGTAGTAGTTTGCTTTCATAAAAGATTTACAAGCTCAGAAACCTTATTCTGTTCTTCCCTAAAGGATGGTTATGAGTTGAAATCAACTGAATGTTAGTAGGTTTAGAAGACAGATTGTGAAATCAGACAAACCTGGGTCCAAATCCTGACTCTATTTCTTTTCTGCTCTTTGGCCTTGAAGAGTGATTTTATCTGCTTGAGCCTTGATTTCTTGATTTCTTCAACTGTATAATGGGCCCACAATGCTGTCCCAAAAAGTGCTGTGATTCACAGGATTGGCCAAATGTTGGTCTGCACCCAGGAAGTGAGTAGCTTAAGGAAGAAGATTAATGGCAGTAATAATACAATAGTTGTTATTAAAGTAGCCAAACTATGCGCTCTGGTGGCCTAGTGATAAGAAGCTGTATTGCAATCTCAAAGGCATGCCGGTTCAAATCCATCAATTGCTCTGCAGGAGGATTGGCACTCTCCTCCCTACAATTAAACTGCCTCTGAAAACCCGCTAGAGGGTCACCTATGAGTTGGTTATGACTTGATGGCACATAACAACAACAGAGTGACCTGTGAGGTTTGTTTAAGGCAAAGGTCACAAAACGCAGACCACGAGGAGTTTGTTCAGTTCTGTTTGTTTTTTCTTCTCTCTTGCGTTTGCTTGTGTTTTAAATTGGAACTGGTTGCCAACATTATTTAAAGACTGGGATTTTTTTCATTGACATATAGACTTTTATCTTCTCTTGAGCCTACACAGAAGTTCAGAGTTCTGGCTCTGAAGCCTGACAGCATGGTTTCAAATCTCACTTGCAGTGTCTCATTCTGTAAGATGCTGTCTTTCTCAGAGCCTGCAATGAGGAGACAGTGAGCCAGGCATTGCACCAGAGTCAGTGCCAGGTGCTCCGGGGACACCTGACCACTATGAGATTGTGCTATTATTATTAAACACATGTTGCCTTTGAGTCAGTCTCAACTTGTGGAATTAGCTGTGTGCTCCCCAGGTATTTCAGTGACTGATGTTTGGGAAGTAGATCACCAGCCCTTTCTTTGGAGGTGCCTCTGAGTGAACTTGAACCGTCAACCTTTCAGTAGGAGCTGAGCATGTTAATTGTTTGAACTCTTGAGGACTCCATGCTGTTAGTGGTGCCTTCGTCAGGCAGGTGTGTGCTGTCAGGCAGGTGTGTGCTGGTCGGGCAGGTGTGTGCTGAGCTCTTGGCACTGTCCCCACTCCTTCTCTTACTTTATTACTATTTAGACTCTGAGTTTGTGTCTGGTTTACGAGATAATTAACCCATTCAGTCCTCTCCCCAAGGCACTTCCTGGGGAATGTGCATCTCTCTAAGCTTTAATTTAAATGCAATTGCTCTGTGACCTTGAGAAATGACTTACCCTTTCTTTTTTTTTATTATACTAGTTTATTTACAAAATTTAAATACATTGTTTTCCAGAACAGATTCTTCCAATTTCCCTCCTCCTCCCCATCAAATTGTGCAATTCCATGATTAATCCTCCCCTCCCCCTGCACACCCTCATCGCTCTGCTCCCGCCCTCCGCCCCCGTAATTTTTTTGGTGCATGTACCATCAAATCAGATCTGACTGGTACAGGAGGAGACTGCCCCTCCTTCTCCAGCAGAACATCTGGTGGATTTGAACCGTGCACCTCTGGGATTGCGGTGCAGCTTCTTGCCACTAGGCCACCAGAGCTCCCTGCCCCCTTGAATTCTTATACTCATTTTACAATAATGGGTTTCTATTACCCTTTCTGAACCAAAGCTTCTTCATATGTGTAAAACCATCGGCCTTGGAAGGCACCCTTCTTCTTGTTGTGTGCCGTCAAGTCACACCTGACTCAAAGCTGACTCTCCGGCAGGTTTTTAGAGGCAGTAAATCACATGGGAGGGGATTGTACATCCTTCTCCTGCAGAATAGCTGGTGGGTTCAAACCGCGTGCCTTTGGGATTGCAGCGTAGGCTCTTACCACCAGGCCACCAGGGGTCATAATGTGGGTGGCCGTGTGGGAGTCCGGATAGGACCTCACCCTGTCTTTCTCCGCCGCCCCCAGGACGAAGCTGGTGCTGGAGAACCTGGAGGACGCGTGCGTGCTGAGCGGGCCTGACGACAGCCTGTGGGACAAGCGCGCCTGCCCGGCCTACGTGGGGCCCGAGATCCTCAGCTCGCGGGCCTCCTACTCCGGCAGAGCGGCGGATGTCTGGAGCCTGGGCGTGGCGCTCTTCACCATGCTGGCTGGCCACTACCCCTTCCAGGACTCGGAACCCGCGCTGCTCTTTACCAAGATCCGGCGAGGGGCCTTCGCCCTGCCCGAGGGCCTCTCGGCCTCAGCCGGCTGCCTGATCCGCTGCCTCCTCCGCCGGGAGCCGGCTGAGCGGCTCACGGCCACGGACATCCTGCTGCACCCCTGGCTGCGGGAGGACCCGCGCCCCGGAGCCCCATCCCGGTCCCGATACCAGGAGACTGACCAGGTGGTCCCTGATGGTCCAGGCTCTGAGGAGGCTGAGGAAGAGGAAGGAGCCAGGGAAGTGGGTCTGTATGGCTAGGAACACCCGAGGAGATTCTCAGCTGCCAACAGTCCCTCTTCTTTGAACTGAGCCATACCTAAGTGCCTTTGAGGAGGGAGATGGGGGACACATGTCCTGAACATGCTTTTGCACACTTCTGCTGTCCACACACCTGTACTCACAGGCTTGGACATGCAACAAGTCCATCTTGGATGCTTGTAGGGTGCCAGGCTCTATTCTGAGTGCTAGGAACACAGCAGAGAAAAGAAACAGAAACCCCAGCCTCACGGAGTTGACATATTGTTGCTCTTGAGCCAATGACCTCTCTCCATGCCCAGCGGCCAGCATGCGTCAGCAGCCCCTCTTCATGCTGGTGCTGAGGTGCCTCTGTCCCTCGGACAGACGGTTTCTTCCACCACTAACCCAGCTGCCTTGGTGTCTAGCACCTTGTTCTGAGAAAGCAAAGCATCCCTGTGCCAAAGGCCTCCAGCCTTTTTTCTTCAGAGATCCTTTAGCCAAGGACTTGGACCAGAAGAGCAAGAGATCAAACTATGAGGCTGGTCCTCATTTATTTCAAGGAATGCCTTACAGGCCTATCCACCTTTGTGACCCCTGACTTGAGCACAGGGGTTGAGGGGCAGGATTGGTCAAGGGGATGCCCTCACCTGGGAAGCATCCAGTCCTACTCTGGGACTTCCACAGCAACCCTGTGGGTCTTGAATACATGAGTACGTATGTTTACTTTGTGCCTTAATAAAAGAGTGTTATAAAACACTTCTGTTTCTCCGGATTTCCTTTCCTCCCCAACTCTACCTCCAAAGCAGCATCGGTGGTGATCAGCTAGAAGCCTATGTCTCAGCTGAATGGTGTGTGTGAGAGGAGACCCCCACCGCCCCATGAGCAGCTGCACTCCTCTGTTTCTTCTCAGGTGCTGGTTTCTCATCTGGGTGTCCTTGGTTGCAAATCATGGGAGCCCAGGTCAAAGTAGCTTAAGCAAAAATAAAGTATATCTTCAGACACAACAAGAAGTCAGGGGAGGTGGGCTCCCAAAGCTGCTTCTCCAGGTTGTCCGGGTCCTTCCTATCTGTTTGCTCTGTTACCTCTGTGAATATCAGTGTGATGGCTAGAGCAGTCCAAAGTATCACATTGGAAATACTGAAGACAGGACAAATTGCTCAGCTAACCCTCACAACCATGAGTTAAATAAAAGAACTGTTGTCTTAGGCCATTAGGTTTGGGGGTGTTTTGTTATACAGCAAAAAAGACACAGAGAGGGTCAAGTCAGCCTCATTTTTCTACCGTGCGTTACACAGAATATGGCCTAGCTCCTGGTGATTATGAAATGAATGAAACCATTACTGTATAAAGGCTCTAATGTGACATTCCTTGACATCTACCCTTCTCCTATCACCTGGGCAGCCTCCTGTAGCCCAAGACCAGAAGTATCAGGTGGGATCTGGACACCATAACTGACTGCTGTGATCAAGGTCACAACAGAAGGTCTTGGGCAGAGAAAAAAAAAGTAGAACAAAATTCAAAATAATAAAAGGCAGCCAGACTTCCTAGTCTGACAGAAACTGATGAAATTCCCTCTGACATCCTTGAACTGGAAAATGAATCCCCTCAGCTTTCATCCAAACAATAACATTCTTCTAAGGAGAGAAGAGTTAGATTGTTAGGTCTTGTTGACCTCAAATCTGAGGTCTACGTAAAGACTTCCCTCAAATAAAAATTGAGAGACTTTGTCACCAGGAAATTGTCATTTTATAGGGAATTATGAAAGTGTGATTCTCAAATTGGGCTTTTCATTGCAATCACTGAGGAGTTGTTTGTCTTTTTTTTTTTTTTTGGGTTTTTTTTTTTTTTAAGTCTTCACGCCAGGACCTTGCCCTCTGAGATTCTTGAACACTTGATCTGGAATATGGACTAAGTATCAATTTTTTTAAAAAAAAATTTTATTCTTTTATCTACAACCAGGAGAAGATAAAATAGATGAATGGGACCTTCTAAGAATCAAATCCCTATGCACATCCAAAAACTTCTCCAACAGGGTAAAAAGGGAAGCCACAGACTGGGAAAAAGTGTTTGGTAATGACATGTCAGATAAAGGACTTATATCTAGAATTTATAAAGTACTTGAGCACCACAACAAGATAAAGGTAAATAATCCAATTGAAAAATGGGCACAGGATATGAATAGACACTTCACCAAAGAAGACATTCAGATGGCCAACAAGCACATGAAGAAATGTTCAAAATCCCTAGCTCTAAGAGAGATGCAAATCAAAACAACTATGAGATATCATCTCACCCCAGTCAGAATAGCAAAATTTAACAGAACAGCAAGCAACAAATGCTGGCAAGGTTGTGGAGAAACTGGAACCCTTATTCACTGTTGGTGGGAATGTAAAATGGTACAACCACTGTGGAAGGCGGTATGGCGCTTTCTCAAAAAGTTGCAAATAGAGATACCATTTGACCCAGCAATTCCACTACTGGGAATATATCCCAAAAAGACCATAACTGACATCCAAGCAGATATATGCACACCCATGTTTATCGCAGCTCTGTTCACAATAGCAAGGAGTTGAAAACAACCCAGGTGCCCATCAACAAACGAATGGGTAGAGAAGCTGTGGTATATTCACACAATGGAATACTATGCTGCATTGAAAAACAAGGAACTCATTCAATATTATTCAAAATGGGTGAGCCTGAAGGACATTATGCTGAGTGAAATATCTCAGTTGCAAAAGGACAAATATTGCATGGTGCCACTGCTATAAAATGGGACTGATATCAGGGTGGGGGTAAGACTGAGAAAAACTGGATAAATTGTGTATACTGCACTGAAACAGATGAGGGACTGAATTATTTAAAAGCGATGTATGATAGGGTATTATGGTTATCACAAGAGTCCACAATTAAGGTTGCATAGTGGAATGTACTTGGGGTGGTGGGAGGGGTGCGGGGGGATTGTGTACCAGGGAGGGAGTCTTTTACTTTTGAAAGAGAGGAGCAAACTGGGGGGCAGGGGGAGAGGGCTGGGCGGGGAGAGAAGTGCAGCAATGAATGAATGGAAATCCAAATTCTCTGTAAATGTTCATGAAAATTATTTTAAAAAATTTTTATTCTTTTTTGACTGTGTACTGTCAAATCGGATCGGACTGGCACAGGAGGAGGTTGCCCCTCCTCCAGCAGAGCATCTGGTGGACTGGAATATTGTACCTCTGGGATTGCAGTGCAGCTTCCTGACACTAGGTCACCAGAGCTCCTAAGTATCAAATATTTTAAGCTCCTCAGTCAGATTCTCTTAAAAACATAAATAAAGCTACTCAGGTGATTCAAATGTTCATTCATCCAGCAAACAATCCTGTGCAACCAGGAACACAGCAAACAAAACAAACAAGCAGAAAGAAAATAAACAAATGTCTCTGCCCTCCCAGAGCAGAGGTCCAGTGATCCTGACCTGCCCTAGGATCCAAGCCAGTGAACTTGGAGGGAGTGAACTGAGCAGTTTGAGAAGGGGCGGTGCTGGAGGTGGAGGCTTTGACTTTGACTTCAAATGAGATGTTGTGCAGAGTCCTGAAGGCTGTTTCCCTGTCTATGTCAAGTACATACAAGCTTCACTAGCGAGTAAGTAAACACGTGGAGTGTGGCCGTGACCGTGAAGACAGATGGGCTCTTGAGCTCACCAGACCCAGATTCAAATCCCTACTGTATGACCTTTAGCAGTCTCAAAATGTATTTCTTTCCTCTCCTGCAAACAGGGATGGCCAGTATGAATTGAGATTTAGAGAGAGCCAGAGTGGGTTCAGAGCAAGCCTTTCAACAAGCAGGTTCGGAGGCCCCGCCTCCGTGCAGGCCGCGCCCTGCGTAACCACGCCCCCAGGTGTTCCTCCCCGCGTAACCACTCCCCTGAAGGGTACGTCCCGCGTAGCCACGCCCCAGGAAGCCCGCCCCGCACCCCGGACGCCCCGCCTCCCCACCGACAGCCCCGCCCTCCCTCCTCCCTTGGTGTGGCGCGCTGGGCCCGGCGGGTGAGTCGGGGTCGGGGAGTGGAGAGTCCTCTCGCAGGCGCGGTGGGGCTTCCCGCGCGGGGGGTTGAGCACCGGGACCGCCCAGGCCCCGCGGCGGGGCAGCGGTGCCAGGGACGGCCTAGGCCTCTGCCGCTGGTCGGCCGCTCGTGGGGTCCGGCTCGGGAGACAATTTTCCGTTCGCTCCCCGCCTCGCCCCACTTCCGGGGCCGCCACTTTCACTTTCTCTTCTGCCGTTTTCTCTCCCTTCCGAAGACCTCCCGGGGAGGGGTGACCTGCAAGCCGGGGCGGGGCGGTCCCGCGGGGAGAGGCAGGGGGCCCCTCGGAGGACCCTCCCCCCGCGGCCCTGTCCTGGCCCCTCTATGCGGGCCTTGTCCGGTGCCCCCTGCCCTTCACCCTCCCACGCGAGGTCGCAGCCGGGTGCCCTTTCTCAGACCGGATCTCCGCTCCCCGGGTCTTGTGATGCAGCCCGACTGCCGCCGGAGACAGCGCAGCCCCGAAAGGGCTCAGGCCGCGCCGGAGGCCACTCGACTGGGGCTGAGTTGTTCCTGGTCGCCCGCCCTTCCCCAGATGACCCGGAGGTAGCATATTCCAGGATCTGCAGCCCCCGCCTGGGGGGATGGACCCACCCGAGCCAGATGGACGAGAAAAACAAGAAAGGTGGGCACTGATGGGAGACTTCGGAGGTGGACCCCCTCGCCCACAAGGGCCTTCCCTCTCCCAGCCTGGCCCCCGTTTCCTCCCTGGGAAGCCTCTGGCTTCCAGAGGCGAGTTACTCGCGAACCTGGAGACCAGGTGGGCGGGTTCTTTGCGGAGATCTGAGTGTGTATGGGGGGGTGTCGTAGAACACCGGGAGCAGAGAGACCTCCCTGCTGCTCGTGGAGGGACAGAGATCTAAGCGGACCTTAGCCCCAGGGAGCTTGAGACCTCACTAGCTTGAGACCATTTCACACCTCAAGGCTTGTGCCTTCGCCTTTATTTTTACCTCGACCACTTGTCACTGCATCTTGAACATGTCGGGTTCCTTCTCTTGCAGTTCCCAGCTTCAGTATGACCTCTTCCCAAAAGCCCTCCCTGATCTCTTTACATTGTTTCTCACCTTCTGAGTGTGGATGACCATGTGAATTTTTTGTTCTTCTTTTGTTACACTTGTTCATTGTGTGTCTCTCTGACCCACTGGGCTGAGAAATCCTTGCGGAGACCCCATTTATCATATTTACTGCTGTCCTGAGGTAATGGCTAGAGCACAGTAGGAGCTTAGTAAATGCTTGTGTGAGAAATTAATGGAGATATGAAGAAAAAGTTAAGGCAGCCAAGGCAGCAACTGGGGAAAGCAGAGAAATGGGAACAATGTCATAGAAGGTGGTGTTGGAGGATGTGTTAGCCTTCACCAGGGAGATGGAAGAATGTGCACAACAGATCTCTTCCTTCCCTAGTCCATCACCCTCACATTTTTTTTTAAATTTATTTTCTAACAGTTGAATTTTATCATATTTTACATATGTGTCAGTTCGTGCCACGATCTTGAAAGGTAAACCCTGGTGCTCACCTGCTCCCGCTGTGCTTATTTTCAGCCGAGGAGATGGCACTGAGCCTCACCCGGGCAGTGGCAGGTGGGGATGAGCAGGCGGCCATGCAGTGTGCCATCTGGCTGGCAAAGCAAAAGATACCTGTGAGTGTGCAACTGAAGCCCAAGGTCATCCAAACACAGCACATCAGGTGAGGAAGAAGATTCCTGGAAGGGAGCCGTTTTAGGGTACTATCTCGAGGCCAGCTGGTTTGGGGCAGAGGGTTTAAGTTCAGCCCTGGCCCTGGCATTTAAGAGCTGTGTCACCTTGCACAAGTCCCTGCTTCCTTTGCCTTAGTGTTCTAACCTGAGAGTTGGAATTGTAATAATATATGGGGTTTAAGTTTTTGCTTTTTGTTCTGAAATAGTTCAGACTTAAAGAGCAATTGCCAAATTGTACAAAATACTTGCATGTACAGTTTTTCCAGATTCCCCAGATATTTTCTTCATTTCACTGCATTTGCCTTGTTTCATTTTTTCCCCTTATGTATAATTTACTTATGTTGTTGTGTTGTTAAGTGTCATCAAGTCATAGGCGACTTATAGCGACCCTATGAATGAAAGACCTGGACACCTGTATAACTTTTGTCCTTTCTCCAAGTTCATAGGGTTTCCAGAGGCAAGCTTTTATGGAAGTGGATGCCACTCCTGCTTCCAAGCTTGTTTTAATTGGGTAGCTCCACCAAACACTGTCCACCATGGGTAACTTATTTATATGAATATGTAAAATGTATATATGCCCCAAACTCAATTGCCATCAAGTCCATTCTGACTCATTCCAACCCTCCACAAGGTTTCTAAGACAGTCTTTTTCAGAAGAGATTGTCCATCTTTCTCCGTCAGAGTATGTAGTGGATTTGAACTGTTGACTTTCCTGTTGACAATGAAATATATATTAAACTATACCACTAGGGTCCATATTTCCTTAAAAATGTATGTGTGTGTGTGTGTGTTTATATATGTGTGTAGATGTGATTTTTGTGTAGATTATGTAGCTGTCTTAGTGAGAATGAGTTCTGGTATCATAGTCTGTAAGGAGTTGCTTGCTAAGCCAAAGGCCGTACTTTATGGTTCAAATCTGCCAGCTGTTGCTTAGGAAAAAAATGGGCAGTCTCCTCCTGTGTGATTTACAGCCTTGGAAACTCAGTGGCGGGTGACTTATGAGTTGGACTTGACTTGATGGTGGCAGTTAGAGAGAGAGACAGCACTACAGTGACATCTCATTATAATTTTGGTCTGCCTGTCCCTGATCGTTAAAGAAGGTGCTTGGTGGCATATTTGTATGTCTTCTTTGGAGAACTGTCTATTCAGATCCTTTGTTCATTTTGTAAATGGGTTAATTTTCTTTATTATTGAGTTGTCAGAGTTCATAATAAGTCTTTATATATTCTAGAATGAATCCTTCTTTAGAGAAATGATTTGTAAGTATTTTCTTTCCCATTGTGTTTTGTCCTATTTTTTCCCTTCACTTTGTTATGTTCCTGAAAGCACACTAGTTTTACATTTTGTCTTGTCTATAGTTTGTTATTGTTATGTGCTGTCAAGTTGACTACAACTTATAGCGACCCTATGAACAACAGATCTGAACCCTGTCCTATCCTCTGCCATCCTCATATGTCCTGACACAGTAGAGGCCACTGCGGCAGTTACCGTGTTTGTTCCTTCCCTTCGCTGACCCTATCATGTCAGTTTGCCTGGTTGAGGGACTTCCTTTCCTTTGCTGCCTTTCCAAGCGTGGTGTCCCTCTCCAAGGAATAACCTGTTTTAGCAACATACCCGAAGCATGTGAGGTGAAGCTTTATCATCTTTGCCTCCAAGGAGCACTCTGGCTGTACTTTCTCTAAGACATATTTGTTTGTTCTTTTGGCCATCCATGGGATGTTCAGTATACTTTTCAACACCACAGCTCAAAGGCACTAATTCTTCTTTCATCCTTATTCATTGTCTAGCTCTTAGATGCATAGCAAGTGATTGGAAAGACCATAGTCCAAATCAGATGCACCCTAGTCCTCAAACTGACACCATTGCTCCTCAATAATTTGGGGAAATCCCTGACTGCAGACTTTCCCAGTTCAATATATCTCCTAATTTTCTGACAGCTGATACCAAGGGTATTGATTGTGGATCAAGTAAGATGTAGTTGGGGGCTCCTAGCCTCCATATGACTGTTAATCACAAAAGTCTACCTTCTGGGTCCTAATTGCTTTAAACAAGAGACTCCCAGTCCCCAACTGTTAATCAGGTGCAAAATATGTTGGATGGCTAATTCACTTCTGTTTTATTTTGTCACTCACTGTGCTTTTGGTGTCATAGTTAACATGTTGCCGCACACTTTTAAATTGATGACCGTGCTTAGAAACACATTTTGCCGTCATTTGCGGCAATGTGTTAAGAAACCATTGCTTAATCAAAGGTCATGAGTATTTGTTCCTATATCTCCTTTTAAGAATTTTACATTTAGGTCATCGGTACATTTTGCATTAATTTTTATATGTGGGATGAGATTGGCAGTCTAAGTTCATTTTTTTCTCTGCTGTCTAGGGGTCCTAGCACCAATGGTTGGGAACGTGAGTCCTTTCCCTACTTCCCCAGGTTGGCACTGTTGTCAGAATTCAAGTGCCTTAATGTGACAGGGCATTTCTGTACTCCTCATTTTTATTCTGTTGACCTAGAGGTCTTTTCTGTGCCAGAACCATACTGTTTTGACTATTGTAGTAATGTGTAGTATATTTTGAAATTAGAAAGAAAGTATGTATCTCCTAACTTTATTCTTTTTTTTTCCAAATTGTTTCTGCCATTCTGGGTCCCTTGAATTCCATATGAAGTTTAGAATCATCTTGTCAGTTTCTTCAAAGAAGTCATCAGGGATTTTGGTAGGGATTACCTTGACTCTGTATATCAGTTGGCCTTTTGATTTTTAAATGGAGTACATATATTTTTTTATTTTATTTATTTATTTATTTATTTATTTATTTATTTATTTTGGCTTTGACAAACAAATTTATTCCCTCACCTTTTGCGGTTAGAAGTCCAAATTCAAGATGCTGCCTCCAGGGCCTCTGGGTCTGGTGGAAGCTCCATGTTTCCTTCAGCACCTTTGGCAAGTCAGTCCTTGGCAAGCCCCCTGTGGCTTGGCCTTCCCCTGTGTCATTGAACTTCCTGGCAGAGAGATCTGGGTGGAGATGAGATGCTGCACTCCCGGCTTCCGTCTTGCTGGTATTAAGGCTTTCCTTTGATCTGTTTCTTGATGTTTCAACACAGTGGACTTCCATCTGTGAAGCAAAGTCACTTTCCCATACTTACCTCCAATCTTTTCCTGGCTTTTGCCAAGTATCAGAGTAGATGCTCTCCTTGTTCACCTCCTCTCAAACCCCCATATTAACTGGCACTGTGGGTTTACTGTGGGTAAAACTGGGCTGTAAAACATAGACTCACAGCTCAGCCAGTGACTTGCTATTTGAAGTGTGTTCCGGTGATCAGCAGCCCTACCTCAGGGCAGCTGGGTTTCGAACTTGCATTTTGAGAGACTGTTTTTCTCCTCAGTGCTCAGAGCTCATCAGCAGTTGAATTTGTTCCCTAAACTATTTCTTGTTGTATCCCTTCTAGTCAGAACCAACTCATAGCTGGCCCTCCAGCGAGTTCTCAGGGGCACAATAGGAGATTGCCCATCTGTTTCCCACAGAGTAGCTGGTGGATCCAATCCAAGTGCCTTTGGGTTGGCAGCACAGCTCTTTACACTAACTCAGCAGAACTCTTCAAGCTGTTTATAGGAGTTGTAAGAATTTGGATAATTATTTTGTTGCTTACTAAAATGCAAGTGCGAAGAGGAAATTGGTTCTCTGTAGTTCACCAGAAACACTGTAGGATGGTGATGATGTTAATAGGTTGATTCTGACCTTGTGTCAGCAGAAAGCTGCCCCGTGGGCTTTGTTGCTGTGATCCTAGGAGAGCTGACCTGGCCTCCCTTTTGTGATGCTGCTGTGTGAGTATGAACCATCTGCCTTAGGCTAATGTATTTTAAGTTGAGAGTTTACAAATTCCGCAAAGTCCTGCATTCAAATGTTTAAGAGTGTGTATTTGCTCCCCTGTTTTAAAAAGTTGTAACTGGAAACCATAGATGACGCATTGTGGATGTAGTTCAAACAATATAGAACAAACAGGTCTGTCCAAGAGACAGTGAAACCAGGGTGCTTCTTGGAGGGATGGTTGATGAAATACCATCTCATGTATTTTGGGCATATTGTAAGGACAGCCTGGGATGTCATGCTTGGAAAGGTGTGAAGAGTTAGCCTAAGAGAAGAAGACATTCAACAAGGTGTATTGACACAATGACTGTAACAGGGGAATCAAATGTGTTAGAGATGGTGAGGGTGGCACAGGATAGGGCAGAATTAAGATCTATTGTTCATAGGGTCTCAATGAGTTGTAGTCGACTTGATGGCACATAACAGCAACAACATACTCCAGGGCTCCTCAAACCCAATAATATACAGTTTCTTTTCAGATTTCTGAGTCTTTGTGTAATCCTTTTTACAGCTGACCTTTTCAAATTAAGGGTTAAACAAGATCCATAGGTAGTATTTGGTTGAATATGTCACTTAAGTTTCTTTTCTTTCAGTTCCTTTTTTAAAAGAAACCTGGCTTTTCAACATCTAGAAATTCTCTACACTGTAGTTGCTGGATTGCCTGCTTCTTCCTGCTTTCATCTGCTAATTTCTTCTGTTTCTCCAATTTCATGTGAACTGATCTTTAGATCAGAATGAAGGCTTGATTAGCTCAGCAGTTTTTGTTTGGGTTTTCCTCTGTTTCTCAATGTGATATGATGTTTCCCCAAATCTCCCTGAAGGCATTAATTATAAAAACACTTTGCTGTTACTATTTTGTTCCCTAAGTTTTCCATTTCCTTTGGGATCAGTTCTATTTCATCTTCACTATCTCATTGTTGTCTAGTCAGAACTGACTCATAACTGACCCTTCATTGAGGTTTTAGAGGCTGAAAATTGCACAGAAGAGATTGTTTCTTCCTTTGTGCAGCGGACAGATTGGAGCCTCTAGTCAACACCTTTGGGTCAGCAACACCACTCCCTGTGGAATGTGCCACCAGAGCTCCTTTTCGTGCTTTGGTCTTCAAAATATTTTTGAGCCCTGAGAAAGTTGGTACTTAGGACCACTTTCTTTAGAGTTAAGAGTGTTTGGATTTGAATCCTGTCTCTATTATTAATTCTTTGACATGTGAGAGTCAGTGTCATTTAGTGATGCCTCATTTTAAAAATCTGTACAATAGGGTAGCAATGGTACCTCCTTCATAGGTTTGTTGAGAGGATTAAACAATTTGACAACCTGGTAAGTGTTTTGAATTGTCCTGATACACAATAGTTAGTGATAGCCGAATGGTCAAAGGAGGGAGGAGACGATGATTGGAGAGGCAGGGAGGGGCCAAATCATAGAGCACCTTCTTGGCCACACTCAGGAGACTGGATTTAGTGACAGTGTAGAGTCATTGAGGTCCCTGAATTAGTACCATTGGCTAAGCTTAAAATTTACCAAAAGTTTTTTGGTTTGAACCTACAAAGAGGCATCTCAGAAGTAAGCCCTGGTGGTCTGCTTCTAAACAGTCACAGACAGTTATGTCACAAACCAGTATGGAGGAGTTTTGCTCTTTACATATTGAGTCATAAGTGACTCAGTAGGTTGGGTTGGGTACACCTTAGTCTTCTAAGTGACACCCTTACTTGGTAGCACTTTAAAAAGGTCCTGTGCAGCACATTTGCCCAACACAATATCTTTTACATCTGTATCCATAGAGATGATCATACGGTTCCTTGTCTTTGTTTTATTAATGTGGTGGTTTAGTGAACCATGCCTGAATTTCTAGACTAAATCCCTCTTGGTCATAGTGTATGACTCTTCCATTATTCTGTTGAATTTTTTTAATTATTAAATTTTATTAATTTTAATGAACATTTACAGAGATTTTGGGTTTTCATTCATTCATTGTTGCACTGTTTTCTGTACCCTCCTCCCCAGTTCGTTCTTTTTTCCCCCCCTTGAAAGTCTGTTTTAATTGTCCAGTTGCCACAGTGCTTGTCAAAGCCAGTTCTGATTAATCTCCTTTGTCAGTGTGTCCTTTGCCATTCCCTATCACTCCTCCCTGAGAGACTTCACCCTGATTCATAAGGAAAAGGGGATGGTGTATTCTCTTAGCTACTTGCTGCTGAAAAGGGACGCTGTAGGTTTCAGGGTTATTCTGTTGAATTTTATTTGCTTAAGTTTGGCTGAAAAGTTTGGCATCTGCTTTTATAAGTGACAATGGCCTGTCCTTGTAGCAACTTTGTCTGGTTTGGGTCAGAGATTCATAGAGTACATTAGAGAATATTTCTTCCTTCTTTTTTCATTGAATGAGTTTAAACAATATTATCAGTTTGTTGAAAGATCTGGTAAAATTCTCCAGTGAAGCCACCTCATCTAGAATTTGGCTCATTGGTAGTTTGTTAGTGAGTTGTTTGAGTTCTGTGTTTGTGCATTTTACATTGTTTTCTATTCCTGCTTGGTAGCTTCACTCTGCGTGGTCAGAGAAAATACTGGTATAATTTCAGTTTATTTATTTATTTATTTATTTATTTTAGTTTATTTAAATTTATCCAGACTTGTTTTGTGACCTATCACGTTGTCTGTCTTAGAGAATGATTGACTAGACGATGTACTGGAATGAAATGCCCTGTTTTTATTTGAAGTTTTCGGTTTGGTTTTTTTTCTTCCAGGTTTTTTTTTTTAAATTTTATTCATTTTAATGAACATTTACAGAGATTTTGGATTTCCATTCATTCATTGTTGCACTTTCTCCCTGCCCAGCCCTCCCCACAAGTTCACCCCCCCTTTGAAAAGTAAAATTCTTGCATTGGTATACAATCCCCCCGCACTGCCGCCGCCCCGAGTACCCCCGACTTGTTGTTGTTGTTATGTGCCGTTGAGTTGCTTGCGACTCATAGTGACCCTATGTACAGCAGCCCTAAACTCTGCTCTGTCCTGTGCCAATCGTACTGTCTCTGACATTCTCATCCCAATTACCCCAGTCACTGAGTCAGTCCACCTCATAGAGGGCCTTCTCCTCCTGCACTGTCCCTCCACCCTCCCAAGCATGATGTCCCTCTCCAAAGACCAGACCCTCCTTACAACATGTCCAAAATATGTTAGACGGAGCCTCAGAATTCATGCCTCCAAGAAGCCGCCTGGTTTAACCCTTTCCAGGATGAATCTGTTTTCCTAGCAGTCCATGGTACTCTCAATATTCTTCTCCAGCACCACAGCTCAAAGGCATCAATTCTCCTTCTGTCCTCCTTGGTCATTGTCTAACTCTCTGATGCATAACAAGTGATTGTGAAGACCATGGCCTGTATCAGATGCACTTTAGTCTCCAGAGTGACACCATTGTTCTTCAGTGCTTTGGAGAGGTCCCTAACAGCAGACTTTCCCATGGCAATACGTCTTTTAATTTTCTGGCTACTGGTGCCAAGAGTGTTGACTGTGGAGTTAAGCAAACTAAAGCTGTGAACAATCTCAGTCTCTTCACCATCTATCCTGATGCTGCCAGTTGGTCCAGTGGTGAGAATCTTTGTCTTCTTGACATTGAGACACTCCACTATGCAACCTTAATTCTGGACTATTTGGAGTTTTATAAGAATAAAATGTAAAGATAAACATGGGCTGGCTTTAGCAAAGTGGTTCCTTCAACAAAGTATCATAAACTGCCTTAGAGTTGATCAGGACCCGTGAGTGTTACCCAGCCCTTTTAAAATGAAGGAAGAAAGAAAAAAGAGTAATAATGATAAACTTAATTAGAAAGTTACATTCCAAGGGGACAGAGCTTCCTCCTTGAAAAGGAAATCTGGAGAAGGCCTGTTGTGTTACTGAGTGGCATGTGCTGTATATCTGATAGCTATTGTTGCTTTAGGGAGGTCTAGTGACATAGTCCAGAAGCAGTTTCACTGCTGACCGAAAGGTCTCACTGATGGTTTGTATCCATCAGCAGATCTGCAAGAGAAAGATGGGCAGTCTCCTCCTGTGCAATTCACAGCCTTGAAAAGCCAATGGAGTGTCAACTATAAGTCGATTCCAACTCTGTGCTAGTGAGAGAGACAGTTTAAAGTATCATTGGGATCTTCTTCCTTGCTGGTCTTCTTTCTAGATGTTTAATATGGAAAGTGGTATCTTAAAGACTCTAGCTATTATTGTAGCCAAGAGAACAAACAGGTTTGGCTTGGAGAGGGTGAAACCAGGTTGCTCCTTGAAGGCAAAGAACTCCTGCTGATATGCCTTGGCATATGTGGCCAGGAGGGACCAATCCTTGAGAAGGACATCTTGCTTGGAAGGGTGGAGGGACAACATAAGAGAGGAAGACTCAGGATTGACACAGTAACTGGGGTAATGGGTTGAGTGTCAGAGACAGTGAGGTTGGCTTAGGATAGGGCAGGGTTTAGAGCTGTTGTGTATACAGTCGCTATGAATTGTAGTCAATTTGATGGCACATAACAACAACATCTCTTTCTCTCCTCAGTTCTCTCAGTATTTGTAATTTACATTTAGGTGCCCAGATACTGGGTGTAGATAGATTTGATTTTATATTTTCTTGATTAATTGATTCTTTTATCACTACATAATGTCTTATTGTTATCTATTCTAACAGATTTTATCTTGTTATTGTTATTGCTGTGTACCATGAGTCAGAACAGACCCATAGCTGACCCTGCGGCAGGTTTTCAGAGGCAGTTAATTACTCGGGAGAAGACTGCCCAGCCTTCTCCAGCTGGTATATTTGAACCGTGTGCCTTCAGTATTGCAGCACAGCTTCTTACCAGTAGACTACCAGAGCTCCATATTTAGTCTACTTCTTGATAGGGAGAAGGATGGGCAGTCTCCTCCCATGCGATTAACTGCCTCTGGAAACCCACTGGAGGGTCAGATATGGGTCGATTCCAACTCAGCAGGTACACAACAACTTTTTGATATTAAGTCTACTTTTTTCTGATATTAAGATTGTTACCCTAATGGTCTTTGGATTATTAACTTTCATAGATTATTTTTGCCCCATCCTTCCAGTTTTAACCTTTTGTGTGCTTCCTTGGTTTTAAGATGTGTCTCTTGTAAATACTGTTTAGAGTTGGGTGTTTTCTCTTTTAATAACCCTTTCTGCCATGCTCTGTCTCTTCATTGGAGAATTTAGTCCTTTTACATTGTTGAGTTTGGGTTTGGTGAAGCCATTAGAGAAGCTTTATCAATGGCCTTTAAGAAATGGAAGGCCCCTAAGTGCCACTGGGGTAGAACACGCATACGTGTCCGTAGCTGAGCCTGACCCCATGATGGGTGACCAGAGCCTTTGGCTGTGCCTCTGCTCCTCACAGGCTGTGGGTGAGCGTGGAGGATGCGCACATGCACACTGTCACCATCTGGCTCACTGTGCGCCCTGACATGACCGTGGCTTCCCTCAAGGACATGGTGAGTGAAGGGGGGCCCCCTCCCTGAAGGGGTGTATCAGGATGGAGGCTTCCCACCTTGTTCCCACCTCTCCACACTGGTCTCCCCTTCCCAGCCGCCTTCTCTTGCTGCTCCCTGCCAGGTATTCCTGGACTACGGCTTCCCGCCAGCCCTGCAGAGGTGGGTGATTGGGCAGCGGCTGACAAGAGACCAGGAAACCCTGCACTCCCATGGGGTGCGGCGGGATGGGGACAGTGCCTACCTCTACCTGTTGTCTGCCTGCAACACTTCGCTCAACCGCCAGGAGCTGCAAAGGGAGAGGCAGCTGCGGATGCTGGAAGGTGAGGCTCCACCTGAGGTCGTAGGGCAAGAGGGGGCGGAGCCCATGGACTGCCCATCAAGGACCTGTTCCCTGGCTGCAGCCACAGAGGGCCAGGGAGGAGGGCGTCAGGTAAGCCGTCAGAGGTCAGACTTCGGTGTCAGGTTTCTGGCCTGCCAGTTGGGTGTGATGATCAGAATAGTGTTTCAGTTTTTAACGGTACTTAGAAATATTTCAGACTTAACAGTTACAGTATTATGCAAAGACTCCTGTACACCCCTCACCAGGATTCCTCAAATACTGACAGTTGTTGTCAAATACTTACTTTATCGCTCTGTCCATGTAGAAAATATTTGGAGAATGATATACATGAAGACCTCTTCTCCTAAAAACTTAAGTGTGTATTTCTCCAAAGAATAAGAAAGGTTTCATTTAAGAAATTAAGCTGCAGGGTTTATGGGCATGCCATTTACTGTGTCACTACTGTCCTTCAGAGTGTTGGCACTCTGAAGAGGCTAGGCTGTTTTCTCCGTTTTTGCAGAAGCCTCACAATTTGGCATTGCCTGTGCTCCCGCCCTCAGGGATTGAGTATTTTTGGGGCCCAGAAGCATTCATAGGTGGCTAGGTTCTCAGATCTTTGAGATCACTCAATTGGTGGAGCCCCTCCAAGCCAGGAGAGCGTGGAAGGCGGATCAGTGAGGCATGTGCACACCAGCGCAGGTCAGGTCTGGTGGATTGCTTGGGACCACCCCCCCTTAACGCTCCTCTGCAGATTTGGGCTTCAAGGATCTCACACTGCAGCCTAGAGGTCCGCTGGAGCCAGCTGCCCTCAACCCCGGAGCGCCCCAGGAGCCAGGACGGGGTCTGCCGGAAGCCACGCCTGAGCCCCAGCCAGTAAGCTGCTTCCCCGGGTCGTCTCCCCCAAACTCCGCTCATGCACAGCCCTGCCCTGCGCTTAGCCCGCCCCAGTGCTCCCGCACCCCGCCCACTGCAGCCTAGCCCCGCCTCCAGCCCCGCCCCAACCTTCCAATCCCACCCCAGGCCCCGCCTCCCACACTTCATCCCATCTCTGTTCCAGGTGGGCTGGCAGTGTCCTGGGTGCACCTTCATCAACAAGCCCACACGGCCAGGCTGCGAGATGTGCTGCCGGGCACGGCCTGAGACCTACCAGGTCCCCGCCTCGTACCAGCCAGATGAGGAGGAGCGAGCACGCCTGGCCGGCGAGGAGGAGGCCCTGCGCCAGTACCAGCAGGTGGGTGTGGCAGTCCCCTGCAGACCCCTGAACAGGGAGGAGGCTAGGCCTGGAAGGGTGACACCGCAAATGCCACTCCTGCCCTGTCTCTGCCTTGCTTTTTACTACCACACTCCCTTAGGGTGACCCCAAACTAGTTACTACCCTCTCTGTCCTGAGGTCAGGGACTGACAGAGACACTGGCCACTCAGACACACATCCTGCATCCTGTGTTCACAACCTGTGTGTTTCACACATGCCTCACATGTGTGCTGTGGCTCTGATGATTGTGAGACACATCCATTATGCACATAAGTGTTCCTGGCTGTGACCCTCACATCCTGACCTTGATCCTGACTGTACCCCAGCCCATACCTCCCCTCACCACCTACCCACCCCTGTGACCTAGATCTGCTTCCCCTGACCATGACCTGACCCAGGTGCAGCCAGTCGTGACCTTCATGTGTCGTTCCTGCCCCAGCCATTTCCCCACTGCGGACCCCCCATCACCCTGACCCCAGTTTTTCATGGTTTGCTGACAGGGTCTCTGTCCTACCGGTCCTGCCCCGACTTATGACATGCATGATTGTGACACACATACATATGTGCCTACACTGATTACATGAATTCTAGGTCCTGAGTCTTCTTCCCTTCAGATTTCATGCCCCCCCACCCATGGCCTTGGCTCTGATCCCTGTCCCTCACCCAGCTTGCTGCTCTTAACACCACACTGCTGACCCCTGACCTGCTCTGTCACCTTGACCTGGCTCTGCCCTGCCCACTGGCCCCAGCTCCCCTGACTGTCCTCTCCACCTGCCTTCCTCCTTTCACTTCTGCCACTCTTCCCTCCGCATCTCCACTCAAGGCTGTGGCCCCAATCAACACATGTGCCCGCCCTTGACCTCACTGCCCCCTCCCTGACTCAGCCCAGCCACTCCTACCCCTGCCCACCTCCTGGCCACCCCCTGGGGTCTTGACTCTCTCCAAGCTTCACCCCTACCTTCCACTCTGACCTGGCTCCCAGCCCCCCTGCCCATCTGACCTGCCCCATGGCCCACCCCATGTGTCCAGCGGAAGCAGCAGCAGCAGGAGGGGAACTACCTGCAGCACGTCCAGCTGGATCAGAGGAGCCTGGTGCTGAATGCCGAGCCCACCGAGTGTCCGGTGTGCTACTCGGCGCTGGGGCCTGGCGAGGCCGTGGTGCTGCGGGAGTGTCTGCACGCCTTCTGCAGGTGCGGCCCCAGCCCCGCCCCAGGAACGCCACTGCCCTAGTGCCCTCTACCCAGGACTGCACGTGGGCAGGGCCCTGTGGCCTCCCACCCCCACAGAAACCTTCCAGGTAGGCAGATAGCCAGGTGACTACAGAGAGGCAGCTTGGCCAAGGCCACTCAGCTCCCGGGACTAGAAGCCCACACATAAAACCAAATCCCAGGTGGCCTGTGGTGACAGCCTGTGCTGACTCCCATTGCCTGGTTGGGTGGCCTGGTGACGCCCTTGTGCCTTTCTGAACCTCTTTATGGCCCTTCCATCTGGGCTGTTGAGAACATGCCTTCTTCACCATAACAAGTGTTGAACAGCCCCAGTACCAGGGACTGCTGGGCACTGGTGAGCCAGCTGTGAACAAAACCCTCAGTTCTTGCATTCTAGAATCTACATACCAACAGGGAGGCTGATGCTAGGCTGATCTATAGACTGTATAGATATTGTGTCAGATGCTAAAACATCAGGGGATCCGTTTTGAGAAGGTGGTCAGGGAAACCCCTGGACCATTTGCCTTTGATTTGATGGCTCGTGGGGACCTAGGTATTACTGAGCTGAAAGCCCCTAGGCAGTAATGTTTGAGCAGAGAGCAAAAGCAGGGTTGAGAGGAAGCTCTGAAGGCTGCCTGACTTGTTTAAGGAGAGCAGAGGCCAGGTGGCCAGAGTTGAGTAGGAAACAGAGGTGGTGGGATGAGAATGGAGGGGCTGGGGGGTTCATGAGGATCTCCGAGCGGAAATGAGAGATTCTGGTTTCTGTGCCTTCAGGAAGCTGTTGGCGAGGGAAATGGCTATTGTGTTGACAATAGACTTTGGGGGCCAGGTGGGTGCTGGGAGTCCACTGAGACTACTGCAGCCAGGTGGTGGGTGGACAGGACGTGGGGAGGCTGTGGTCATTAAGACAGGAAGGGGCCACTGAGAGGAGCCCGCCTGGTGTGGCGGATACAGGCCCATGGGGTCAGGCCTGGCTGTGTGGTGGGCAGGTTTGCATGATCCTAACCCCCATCCCTCTTTCTGCTCTCCCCAGGGAGTGCCTGCAGGGCACCATCCGCAACAGCCAGGAGGCGGAGGTCTCCTGCCCCTTCATTGACAGCACCTACTCGTGCTCGGGAAAGCTGCTGGAGAGGGAGATACGGGCGGTAAGGCCTGGGTGGGTGGGAGCTGCTGGGGAGAGAGATAAGGGCGGTAAGGCCTAGGAAGGCTGGAGCTTCTGGAGAGGGAGATATTAAGGCCTGGGCAGGGGGAGCTTCTGGAGAGGGAGATATGGGTGGGTGGAAAGGCCTGGGCAGGGGGAACTGCTGAGAGGGAGACTTGGGCAAGCAGTAAGGCCTGGGTGTTGGGGGCACTGACTTGGGGCTGGCCCCAGGCAGAGGGCATCTATCAAAACCTTCTCTTGTGGGGTTCTAGGGGCCTCAGCAGCAAAGAGGACAGGAACTAGGACACATAGGGAATAAAGGAGGACCCTGGTAAGGAAAGGTATTCATGAAAGTCAGGTTGGAACTGACCCATAGCTGACCCTCCAGTGAGTTTTCAAAAGTAAATTGCACAGGAGGAGATTGTCTTTCTCCTCTGAAACAGCTGGTGGATTTGAACCACATGCCCTTGGATTGGCAACATAGTCCCTAACCACTAGGCCACCAGAGCTCGCTGTGAAGGACGGGAAGAAGAGTGGATATGGTGTCAGATGGGCTGGGTGTGGGTCCTCAAGTTAGACACCGCACACGGCTGCTTTTATTGTCTTGTTGTAGTCAAGGTCCAAGTTAGAATCGGGTTCTATTGCAAAGATTAGAGGGCAGATTTTATGCCCCAAACTGCTGATCACATGTATCAGTTTGCTTTGGATGTGTAATAAATCGCTACAGACTCGGTGGTGGTGGTGGTTGTTAGGTACCGTTGAGTCGAGTATGGCTCATAGCGACCCTATGAACTGCAGATCTGAACCCCCATCCTATCCTGCTCCATCTTCACACTTCCTGACACACTAGAACCTATTGCAGCAGTCACTGTGTCAGTCCACCTGGTTGAGGGTCTTCCTCTGCCTTTCCAAGCATCATGTCCTCTAAGGAATAGCCCCTCCTAGAACACATCTAAAAGCATGGGAGGTGAAGCCTCATCATTCTTGCCTCCAAAGAGCACTCTGGCTGTACCCTCTCTAAGACATACATGGTTCTTTTGCCCTCCAAGGCATAGTGTTCTTCTCCAACACCACAGTTCAAAAGTTCGATTCTTCTTCCATCCTACTCATTGTCCAACTCTCAGATACATAGCAAATGATCGGAAAGAACATGACCTGAATCAGATGCACCTTAGTCCTTGAACTGCCATCATTACTCCTCAGTAATTTGGAGAGGTCCCTACTGGTAGATTTCCCCAGTGACTCAGTATTCTCACTGCTTGTGATTCTGCAGTTGGGGTTGGGCTTTGCAGGATGGTTCTTGTCGTGTGGGCAGGGCTTGGCTCATCTGGGCTCAGCTCTGGGTCTCCTGGGACAGTTTTGTGAGGACCGGGGCTGCGGTGGCTGGCCAGATTGGGTCTCTCTGCACTTTGGCTGGCCAAGGGCCTTTGTGGGTGCCTTTGTGATCCCAGGGCAGCAAGATGGGAGTCCTAGTGCACAAACAGTTCCCAAGCCTTGATTTCATTTGTCTTGTTGTTGGCCAGAGCACGTCCCAGGCTCATGCAGCTTCTCTGTGGAAGGGGCCCTCCCCGTGACGTGGGCCTGTGACTGTGGCAGTCTTCCATGGAGCCACATGTGCCTACACACCCCGCTGCTGCTGTTATGCTGGATTGCTGTCCTGTAATCAGTCAGTCCCTTACGCTGACGGATGGCCATCATGGGCAAGCCCTCTCCTTTCTCTGGGCTTCCATTTCCCTGTCTGTTGGCCTTGATAATGTGGTTTTGTGGTTATTGTTGGGGATGGACACAGCAAAACCCACTGATTGAAAGTTTCTGCAGGTACAGTCCCGTGACCTTGATTTACCATTCTCGCCTCCCTTCTGATTGGTGGATTTTAAGCTGCTGGGAATTGGCCTTCCCCAAATTGGGCCCCTTGGAATCCTCAGGCCAGAATGCATAGGCTGGATTGGAGATGGCTGAGGCCTAGATGGGAGACCCTGCAGATATGCACAAGCACCGCTGTTTCTGCCCATCACTTCAGCCTGTCTCCTGTGACTCTGTTCTCCCCAGGTCCCTCCAACTTCACCAGGCATTTCCTGGACTCCTAGGGGAGGGGACTCTGCCTCGGGAGGAGGAGAGACTGGAGATGGGGGAGCAGCCTGTTTGATCTGTCATCCTTGGGACTCCAGAGGCAGCTCTGGAGAATTGGTGGCCTCTCTGCAGAGGTCTCAGGAGACTGAGTCATCATGTGTCACTGAACCCAGGTTTTCCTGCTAAGCGACACTGTGATGGGTCAGAGTATATATATTTTCCTTGAAATAGGACGTTGACCCCAACTTTAAAGAATGGTGAAACAACAGAGAGAGAAAGGTGTGCAGGCCGCCAGAGTAGCACAGGGAGGTCCAGTATGTCCTTTACACAGTAATAAAACAACAAGTGCTAAAACAAAGGGAAGATAGCAAAAATAAACAAATGCAAAACATGGCTGACCTGCTTCCAGGGAGCTCTGGGGGCAGGGGTCCTCAGGAGTTGGACTGCAAACCCGAAGGCTGTGCCTCTTTGGCTTTTCGAATCCACTAGTGGCTCCGTAGGGTACAGATGGATTGTCTCCTGCCCTGGGATTTACTGCCCTGACACCAGCTGCGGGTTGGCTCCCACTCGATGGCAGTGAGAGTTGAACCCCCATAGAACCAGAGCTGGAAAAACAAAAAACCATCCATACCCAGCCATCCTAGGAAGTCTCTTTGTATTTTCTCCTGTTTCCTATAGGGTCTCTGGGCAGCTAAGACAGTTCCCCCCTTTTAAGTTAACCTTTTTACCTCTTTACATGGTAAACTCTGATTACAGTAACACATGTCACTGAGATAGAGAATTCACGCAGAATTTTTACCTCATTGTGACTCGCATAGATACAAAAAGCTTTATGCTACTTTGCTGCAGAATTTTAAATAATAGTCTTACACATGTACATGGCGTATACCCTGTTTATACTCCTTTCCAGTTTTCTCAGGGTTTTTTGTCAGTAACTTTCCAAGTAACATTTTGCACTGTGCATCTTCCCTCTTGTATGTTTTCTTTTTTTTCCCCCTCTTGTATGTTTTCTTAGTGAAATGAATCTCAAAGAGGCTCAAGCATTGTGTGTTACTATTTTTCTGTCATCTTTAAACATTTCTTTTCCTTCCTTTTTTTAATTCCCCGTTTCCCCTTTGTGGCACTGCTTTGAGCCACTGAGAGTTAGTCTCGGTGGGTTTACCTCTTGCAAATAATTCAAGTAAGCATCATTTTATAGTTGTGATATTTTTATGTGTGACTCATTTCACCCAACCTAGTGTTCCCATAGCTTGTTAATGTAGCGTCATGTGCCTGAATTTCATTCCTGTAGTTAAATACTGTGCCTTTGTACGCATGTGCAGCTTGTTGTGTCTGTCCATCTACTGGATTGTGCCAAGCTGGCGGCGCGTGGATGATGAATGTGGCTGAGTGGACACTGGAACAGGCGTCTCTGAGGCTCTGCTGTTGAGTTCTTTGGAGCGTAGTAACTTCTAGGAGTGGAATTGCTAGATCAGACTGTTAACATTTTTCCCTTCTTTCTTAAGAAAATGCCCACCTGTTTTCCCAGTGGCTGCACCATTTTACATTCCCACCAGCAATGCACAAGGGCTCCAGTTTTTCCACATCTTTACTCAGAAACTCATTGTCATCAAGTCAGACTGACTCATAACTGACCCTCCAGGAGTTTCTGAGGCTGAATTGCACAGGAGCCGATTTCCTGTCTTTCTCTCATGGACCCATGAGTGGATTATTCAAACCTCCAGAGTCAACAGCACAAGCCCCTGTGGACCAGGGCACCAGGGCACCCCTTCACTCTTGCTGTTTTCAATTTGGTTTGTCTTCTTCACTTTTCTGACTGGTGTAAAGTGGTATCTCATTTGCAGTGGTTTTGATTTGCACGTCTCGGACATGTCTTGGAGGCGAGGATGACATAGCTTTGCCTCATACTTTGGGTGTGTTGCTATTCGCCGGAAAGGGACGTCGTTCTTGGAAAGATGGAGGGTCAGTAAAGGGAGGAGGAGACACAGGGTCTGTAGCAATGGGCTCAGGTGTCCCAGATGACGAGGATGGCACAGAACAGGACAGCATTCAGATCTTTGTTCATAGGGCGCCTCAGAGCAACGGTGGTGAGTGTTCATTTTTTAATTTCAATTTTTTAAAAATTTATTATCAATTTCAATGAAAATTTACAGAGACTTTGGATTTCCATTCATTCATTGTACTTTTTTCCACTCCCAACCCTCCCCCCTAGTACACTACCTCCTTGGAAAAGTAACAGAAAAAATTCTTTCATTGTTTTACAGAGTGTTCATTTTTTTTAAAGTTTTTCTTTAATATTATTTTTTGTGGGTATACCATCAAATTGTATCTGACTGGTACATGAGGAGATTGCCCTTCCTTCTCCAGCAGAGCATCTGGTGGATTCAAACCATGCGCCTCTGGGATTGTAATGCAGCTTCTTGCCACTAGGCCACCAGAGCTCCCTGAGTGTCCATTTTTTAATAGAATTTTAAACACAGTGAAGGTTACTTGACGAAAGTGCCTGGATGGGGTTGGTGTTTATGGGATGAAGGTTTCCGGAGGGGATTCACTGAGAAGGAGGTCCTACGTCAGGGGTTCCAAGCCCTGAGGGACAAGCACACATTGTGTTGGCAGCTCCTGACCCCCGAGGATTACCAGCGGTTTCTGGACCTCAGCGTCTCCATTGCCGAAAACCGAAGCGCCCTCAGCTACCACTGCAAGACCCCCGACTGCAGAGGGTGGTGCTTCTTTGAGGACGACGTCAACGAGTTCACCTGCCCCGTGTGCTTGCACGTCAACTGCCTGCTCTGCAAGGTGGGGACCTGCTGGAAGCTCTGGCGTTGGCTCCGCTGAAGTGCAGTCGTCAGGCCCAAACAGGGATGCTGGCCTCTCTGGCTGTGTGGTCAGTGAGGTAGCAAACCTGCCCCCTGTTCTGGGCCAGTCGTGGGATTAGCTCTGACCCCATGCGGAGTCCTGGCTCTGGATGGAGTCCCACCCTGGCCTTGGTCACTGACTGTGTCCCAGCTCTGGGCTGAGCATTCACCCTGCTCCACAGAGTCCTGGTGTGTAACCAGCCCCGGTCCTGATCTCTCCTTAGCCTCAGCCCTCATGTCAGCCCTGGTGCTAAACGCAGTGCTGACTCTTAACACAGGCAGCCCAGCGCCTGGTCCCTTATGTGACCATTACAGTCTCAGTCTCTGATCCTTGGGCCTGTGACTGAGTCGGACCCCTGGTGGGGAGGGAGCTGCAGGCCAGGAGAGAGGAAGGTAAGGGGTTTGTGTGCCAACAGCGTTTGAATAGAAAGATGTGAGTTGTTACCATCATTGTATGAAAACCTGGCTGCACCTCCCTGGCCTCGCTGTTGTCTTCTGTCAAATGGGTGAATGAATGGTTTACCATTAGAGGCTCTGTTAGGGACTGTCTCTGGAGGCATTAATGTAGATCCCTGCTCTGCCCCAGCCTCCTCCCAGCATCCTCACCCCCTAGGGGAGTGTCTCACTGAGCCCCCACTTCTCCAGGCCATCCACGAGAAGATGAACTGCAAGGAATACCAGGATGACCTGGCGCTGCGGGCACAGAATGACGTGGCCGCCCGGCAGACAACAGAGATGCTGAAGGTGAGGCGGGCCCAGGGATCTGGGCTCTGGCATTCAGAAAAGCTGCATCCCGCGCTTCCCCAGAGCACTGGCCCCTTCCAGCTGTCGCTCCTTTCAGGGCAGAGTGGACGGGGCTGGGGGGGGTTGGCGAGCAGCAGGACAGGGTCTGAGCTGAGGGAGGAATAAGAACGGAGGTGGGACTTGGCCTGTGTGGAGGAGTGAAGCATAGAAGGGGGACTTCAGTGGCATTTATCAGTCATGTGCTGGGTTTAGGCAGGGTGGACTAGGTGGGTCAGGTCGGGCATGCACCCCAGGTCAGCAGGTGCTCTGCTTCTCTCCTAGGTGATGCTGCAGCAGGGCGAGGCCATGCACTGCCCACAGTGCCAGATCGTGGTGCAGAAGAAGGACGGCTGCGACTGGATCCGCTGCACCCTCTGTCGCACCGAGATCTGCTGGGTCACCAAGGGCCCTCGCTGGGGCCCCGGGGTGAGTCCTCTGGAGCAGGTGTGGGGAGGGTGTCAGGGGGCCTCCTCCAGTGCCATTCGTGTGTTAGTCCCTCCATGCCTGGCATCCTCACATGTGCAGAGTAGGGTGATCCAGGGACATTTACAGCTGTGGCTTCTCAGAAGGGGATCACGGGCGGGGTGGGTGGTGGTGGAGTGGGGGTATGCCTCCAGCTGTGAGCCTTGCCGCTTGGACCCTTTGCTGAAACCGTAAGTCGCCTGTAGGACAGGTGGAAGTGCCCACCAGCTTGCCCAGCCTATCACGGGGAAGGATGTGTACCTTTCTCCCACGGAGCCACTGGGGGGTTCAAAGGTCTGACCTTCCACTGAGCTGAGCGCTTGTTCTCTGTGCTCCCAGGGGCCTCTGCCCTGGAGTAGGAGTTGGAAAACCATAGCCCAGTGGCCAGGTCCACCCTGGCCCCTGGTTTGTGTGATTTGTAAATTAAGGTGGTTTTTGTTTTTACATCTTTAAATGGTGAGAAAATATTGAAAGGAGAGTAATATGGGAAATGAGCATCTCAGTAGCGGCTGCTGCTTTTGTGCTCTCCTGGTGCAGGATGGCCATCGAAGCCGAAGCGGCCGGCCCTTTATAGACAGTTTGCTCCCTCCTGCCCCAGAGGACAGCGATCACGTGCAGCCTGGCGTTAGGTGGGCTGGCCTGGCCCCAGCATTTACTGGTTGCAGGTCTCTGTCAGTCACCTGTTAGAGCCTCTGTTTAAGCACATAAGGGGGATGATGGCAGGCTGGTCTCTGGCTTGTCAGAAGTAGGTGACACATTTGTCCAGCAGGGTGCCTTTCCCATGGGAGCGCCCCGTAATGGCAGCCATCAGTGTGTATCCCACTGTGTGGGGGGGCTCCTGTGGGCAGGTGGAGGCAGAGAAGGCTGCCCTCACACTGCAGGGCACTGTGCAGCCAGATATGCAAAGATCTGCTGGGTTCCACCCTGCTCTGGGTCTGGGGGAAGGCAGGCTAAGAGTGGGCAGTCAGGGATGGGGTGCCCCTCAGGATGCTGGGATGGCCACCTCCACCTGGAGCAGAGGGCCTGAGTGGGAGAGCGGCCTGCCCTGGGGACTCAGTGGGACAGCACAGGGTCTCCAGGCTTCACTGACACCATTTCTCGTCTCTGTCTTCTAGGGCCCAGGAGACACCAGTGGGGGCTGCCGCTGCCGGTTGAATGGGATCCCTTGCCACCCTAGCTGTCAGAACTGCCACTGACTTGGGACTGCCCTGGCCCTACATTGACTGAGCCCATATCCACAGGCTGCTTGGGGCAGGGCTGCTAGTGGAGCTTTGCCTCTGATTTCTGGCCTGGGAGCGGCCTCTGGGCTTGTGGAGCCCTGGGCCCTGCGGAGAGTCCACGGCCCCTGAGCTGCCTGGCTGGATTCATTCCATCAGGATGAGGGGGTTTGTCCTTAGCTGCCCCAGGGGGGCTGCCCCTCCTCCAGGACTCGCAGGCTGGACCTCTGCCCGCTTCTCTGTGGCTACAAGCTCTGCCTGAGCCCACCTCACGGACCGGCCGGGAGCTGGAGGCTTTGGTGGGTGCCACCTCTGGCACCCGTGGGGCCCCACATCTCCCACCCCTGCGCTGGTCTGCCGCCCACCCGCCAAGCGCTCACACCTTCCTTCTTTGCCTCACTTTTTGACTTTCTGGGGGTGACGCTGCTTTTTTAAATGTTAGAGCCTCACAGAACTGCTGCTAATCCTGGGCAGGGCTGGGAGGGAGACCTGGCTGTTGGAAAGCACAGCCGTTGGATCTGGTGTCTGCATCCACCCTCCCCAGCTGACTGTAAGCGAAGTAAAATGGTTTTTCAGGAGTTGCTGAGTGTGATGTGATTGAGACAGTGAAATGGTCATGGACTTGGTCCCTGCACCCTGGGAATTGCAGTTACTGCATTAGTCCGTTTGAACAGTGTCCCTGGGGAGTGCAGATAGTTGGAACACTCAGCGGATGTCTGTCTGGGGGCACCTCAGAAGAAAGGCCTGGCGATCCACTTCCAGAAATCGCCTTTGAAAACCCCGCAGAGCAGAGTTCTGCTCTGTGCACGAGGTTGCCACTTGCTGGAATCAACACGATGGCAGCAGGCTTCAGTGTTCAGTGGCAGAAAGAACATGTGGCCGAGACCAGAATGTTTGCACCAGACCTGGAGCCTCTGTGCCCAACTCTGGGGCGGGGTGCTCCTGGGCCAACTTTAGCCTGACCCGAGATGCCGGCAGTGTGTCGGAGGGCTTCAAGGAAGAGGCTGCAGGCGACCGTGGGCTTCCGGGAGCCAGGGAGGTCAGGGCTGGAGCGAAAGGCTTACATTGGGTCATCTGGAATTGGGGGACATACATTTCAGTAATAAATGAAGTTGTAACTGCTGCACTTGAAAGTCAGGCTGTGGAACCTGATTTTAACATCCTTGGCAAAACAGCAAAGCCATTGAGCCAGAACTCTGCTGGTCACATGAATAAAGTGAGATTCTCAGCTGCTCATTCCTTAGATTCCCCCCCCCCACACACACACACACTCTCCGTTGTTTAACTGCCTTTCTGTTCAAATCTGCCAATTTAAGGCCAAAACATTTGTGTCCTGATGTGCACAACAGACTGGACCCTTTGTTTTGTTCGAGGCTGGGCTTCCAGGCTCCTGAATTTGGAGCATGTGGTTTTGAGAAAGGAGAGCCTGAAAGGAAATTACCACCTGGAAATTGGATGCTAAGATGACAGTTGGCCCTTGGCCCTGAGAGTGGACGTGGAGATGGGTGAACAGCCTGTGTCCGCCCTGCCAGCTCCTGGTCCTCTCAGCTGTTGGAGGCCTGCTGGGAGCTCCCCAGCCCCAGGAGCAAGCGATGTCCAGAAGAGCTCCTGGCTGGTAGAAGAGGGAACAGACTGCTGACCAGCCAGGCTACAGGAGGGATGGGACCCTGGTCAGGGCACAATGGGGGCCTCAATCACCTGCCTGTGCATCTTGGTGACACCTGTCTCAGCTTCTCTCAGAAGCCAGGGTAGGAGAGACCACTTGATGCAGAGGGTTCAAACTGGTCTAACCAGTCCACCCAATACTGTTTCTGAAATTTGAACTGGTTTGCTAGTTTCCAAAAATTGTAAATGATAATAAAGAACTTTTACTAAATATAGAAATGTTTATGAATAGATTTTTTTAATAATCTAAAAACATCTGCCATTTTATGTTATTTCAGTAAAAATATGAACTGTTAATTTTTATTAGCGTTTGCCCTTCACTATTAGCAGAAGCTATGGTTCCTTATTGTGAATATTTTTACATAGATCTTGTATTAGAATCAAGGTGCTTCTGAGAACAATGAAAGCTTGGTAATCTCAGGCCCTCGTTTCCACGTGGTGGGATTGAGCACCAAGGCTTCATGGAGATTTCGAGACTGCCCCACAGGATAGCAGAGTCCTGTCACCCCATCAGTGTCTTCACACTGCTCTTCCTCAGGAACAGTAAGAGGGAAATGTAGTTATTGAAAACTATTGCAAAGGGGAACAGAGCGTGGGTTGCAGGACTGTAGCGTCTTGGCTCTTGGCGTCTACACCAACCCTGGCAGTGCATTTGGGTCTGCCGCAGCCACAGGGAGGGCCAGGACAGAGGCAGGACTGTCCTGGGCTCCTAGCTACTGGCTCTGTCCTTCCTGGACTTGTGGGTTGAAGACTTCAGGCGGGCCGGCTCAGGGGCTCCCCCTGCAGGGCGTTAGGGAGGTTACACCACTGGACAACTAACCAGCTCTCGAGGCCAAATTTCAAGCCCCCTGCTACCCCTGTCCCCAGTTTGGAGCCAAAACCATCCAGCTGAGGAAGCAGCAGCCAGCCAGCTGCAATTGCTCGACAGAAAAGGGGGAAGGTGCCTTGCGGAAGCCCACTTTTCAGATAACTGGCCGCTGCTAGTATGGGGAGGACACAGGACAGGCCCGGCGGCCTGTGCCAGGGTGACACGTGTCTCGAGTGCTGGGCTGGCAGAAAAGCCACACTCGTTGGCAGGAAGTTGGAGGGAAGCCCACAGCTTTGCTCACAAAAGCTGCTGGGAAAATTCCAACCATATGCATATCTAGAGGAAAAAAGACTCCCAGCAAGCGCTGTAGGAGCAGCTGGCCTCAGGCCTCATTTCAGTCGAACCTGGAAAAGCCTGTGAGACCGCCCTTCAGTCACGGTGCACTAAGCACTAGGCCCAGCACAGGCCTGGTCAAAGTCATTGCTGACTGAAAGGAGACAAACACCTGAACAGGTTCACTTTGTATCTTCATAGGTATTTTAGCAAACCCTCCATTTAACAGGAACTCTTACCGGACTGTTCTGGAAAACATGTCTTGGACAGGTACGGACGATCCGTGTTGTGTACTGCATTGTGCTTCACAGATGAGAGTCATTGGTCTGTTGCCTTGCGTCAAGCAAGTCCATTGTCATTTTTGTCGACAGCACCTTCTTGCTTCATGTCTCTGCTCTTCCGGTCATTCTCACAATATTTCAGACTTTTACATGATGCTTTTGCGCCCTTCACAGGCTGCAGCAGAACTTCACGTGCACCTGGAAAAAATAAGTTCACCTCACTCCCTTTATCCTAGCACTCATGGTTTGGAACCAACCTGTGAGCTTTTCAAGGTTTACCTGTAGGGACTTGTTCAAACAGCAAATCAAACAGAGCCACCAACAATCCCCTCCCCAAGCCCAGGTGTGGCTAGCCCACCCTCACATCTGCAAATCATACACTAAGGATTTAAATTTCTGTACCTCGTGCATAAGCACTCCGTGTAGCCCCCAAATAGCTTTCCACTGATGTTCCCCACAAAAACTGTGCCATAGTGTCAGACCCTAAACTTCAACCCCCCTACTTTGCTGGCCTGATTCTTCCCTCGAAACTGCTTCTCCCACTCAGTTGTGGTGTGAGCTCCCGGCATTGTACTGGCCAGCCCTGTCCTCGATGACTGTCCAATCAAAAGGTAGCCAGCCTGGGGGGGGGGCAGCCTCATGGCCCCTGACACCTACTTCGGGTCCAAGCAAACATTATTCAACACCGACTGCATGCATCATTGCTCTTAGATGGATCCCCAGAGAGGGAACAGGCCCTTGACCCTGCTCTGGGCTCCCAGCACCGCAGCGGGGTATGTTAGGTTGTGGGAAGAGCTTGGCAGTTTCTAAAGACTCCTTTGTAAATGGAAATGACAGACTGAGGCCAAGTGGCTTTCTCTCCACCCGGATGTGTGCATCCTAGAACAGTGTGTGAAACAGAAGCGCTCTACTCGAGGGTCACTGCCATTCCTACCACTCAACAGGGGCCTGGGTGGGAGGTGGGGACAACAGAGCCCACTCCCCACTAACAGGTGAACAGCTACAAGACACAGACGTGCTTAATAACCACGTATGGCTGTTTATTATTTCATACAGGGCTCTGTACAAAATATTTACACATATTCTTTACAGAATAAGTAAACCACCTGACGGTAAAAAGAGAACGCTTGCTTCTCACTGTTGGGGAGAATCCTGGTATCAGCAAAGCTATGAAAACAGATGACCTTTCTTCAGAAGCAAATTCCCTGTGCACCCTGGGATCTGAAAAACTGGTTGTGGGACCCCAGTCACCTGTTTCCCCTCCCTCTTCCCCATCAACTCCTCCTGTTGTTAGAACCAGCATGAGTAGCTGGTGCGGGGCGGATACTGCTGCCCATCGGCACAGGCGACAAGGGGGGCACAGTTATGGGAGGAGGCCGAGACTCCGTGCCACACGGTCATCAGTGGGTCCTGGCAGAATTTCCTTTGTCCTGATGAATCCACCACTTTCTGGACAGATCCATCCATACCATTTACCCAGGCTGAGCTCCTCCTGAGGCAGCCTCATCACGCCGAACTTGTCTGGGTTTAAAGTGCTCCGTGTACCTCAGCACAAACACCTCTGTGACCGCGCTGGGCTGTCAGGTCCTCAGCACAGCACACAGCGGACGTGGTGGACGTGGGCTGTCTGGGCAGGGATGTCAGTGTGAGGGGAAGTCGTGGAGTGGTGAGCTGCTGGCATGTTCACCTGACGAAAACGCCTGCCAGGAGAGCGTGCTTGGGAGTGACCTGGTGAACAGGACGTGGCTGCTGCAGACTGCACACCCAATTCTCTAAAGCAGGAAAAGGCACTTTGTTCAAGCCAGAGTTAGTGTGAAGTACACCCGGCTTCACTGACGGGAAGCTGTCCTAAACGCCCAGTGCAGCGTGGACCCCAGGCCTGCAGGGCTGTG